AATGTGCTGCCAGTTCTGAAGGCTGAGTCCAGACATAGAATCATAGTATGGTTTGTGTTGGAAGGGACCTTAGGTCATCCAGTTCCATCCCCCTGCTATAGGCAGGGACACCTCCCTCTAGACCAGGTTGCTCAAAGCCCCATCCAGCCTGGCCTTCAATGCTTCCAGGGACATCCACACCATATCTGGGCAACCTCTGCCAGTGTCTCACCATTACAGGAAAGAACTGGTTCCTGATATCTAGTCTAAGTCTATTGATTCAATTCAGTCCTTGCCCAAAAATGCATCTTTCACCTCACCAAAGTCAAATTGTTCTTCACAATCCAGTGCCTCCGTGCAGTAGTGTTATGAATTCCAGCCACTAAGTATGGATCTGGGTTCTGTGTCCAAATCTATTTCTTATACTGCATTTATTTTCAGTGCCCAACCGTACAGAAATTTACTCACATCTTTGCACAGCAGGAAGCATATGGTGCCTGAGTTACTAATGTCCATTTCTCAGGAAAGCAGTCCTTTAAAAACAACTTCTCTCCATCGAGGTCCTCTCTTCAAACAGCCTCACACTCATGCTGATCTGCTTTTGGTGAGAATCAGTGTTCCAGCTACCGCAAAAATGCAGTTTGCACTGTAAGAGAAGGAAATAACTGTTGGGTCATCTAAGAGTCCTTCATTCATTCAGCCAAAAATGAGACTACCCTGAATTTAATTTTTTTGGTTCTGAGTCATTAGTTGATTTCTCTGGAAAAAAAAAAAAAAATCTAAAACTGTCTTGTTAATATTATATAGATGGATACGTGACAGCTCTTATGACTCAGGCCCGTTGGGCTGCATTTATCCCTTGCTCTTATGCTATGAAACACGCTCTTCCCAACAAAGGCAAGACTGAGAACTCTCTTTAACTTTGGGAAAGTTCTGCAGTGCTTCCGGAGAAGGAAAACTGCAGATCCACACTGAATCAGAAAAGAAAAATGCTCTCTTCTCCACTCCCCATCCCACCACGTGGCTCCACACCCCAAAGCAAGCACACAAGAATGTTGAGAAGTATTACTATCCTTTGTCAGCAACAAGCCCCAGTCACTTTGCACGCACTGTCTCACACCTCTCCCCTCTGTCAAACCATGGATGCTGCAGCCACCACAGGGGCTTATAGAACTTCTGTAATCCTGCCATTAGGCTAAAGCTTAAACTGGGTCTCTCCAAAGGCAGAAAAGGCATTTGTTGTATGAGCTGAAAAAAAGATTCCCTCTAATCCAGTAACAACTATAGCAAGCTTTTTTTCAGCTTGAACTCTCTGGTTTTACACGAGCATATGAAGCAGGTGTCAAATGGATCTAAAAATGGGTCACGGAGGATTCTGTTGCTCACCATCTGTGTCAGTGATGGGGAATGCACATCCACAGGGACCACCGAGTACCATGCGGTATCTCCTTGCTGATACAGCTTTGTAGAATGAAGGGCTTTGTGTTTTCAGTAGTGATACGTAGTGCACTCTGTGTCTGCCCAAGAGAGGTGGTTGATCACAGGGCTGTGGGCTGAACCTCAAGCAGCTACAAACCTACTGAAAATGAAAGGTCTCCCCTGGGGACATCAGATAGCTTTGTCTCCAGAGGATCACAGGTCCAGAAAAAAGCTGTAGGGTACAGAGGGCAAGAAGTTTCCTCTCCTGTTTGTGATTCTTCTGGCTCATAGCCGCAGTTGAAAGTGAAAGCAAAAACTTGAGAACTTCCACTGGGCTTTAGGAAGACTCTGCCAAGACAAACTTCCTGCAGCCTATACTGACCTAGAGGCAAATCAGTATGGCAATGAGCAAAACAGATCATCAACAGGATTGCTCTAGATCAGCCCAGCAAAGCATTCTGTTTTGTGTTTGTTGCAGTGCTCCCGGTAACTCCAAAGCCCCAATCCTATTTGGCTGCACAGAGTGAGGGGCTCTGGGTTGTGCAGATAGCTGCCTCACCACAGCTTCTCCAGCACAAAGCTTTAATGCCAAACTCAGCTCCGGTTTTGCAGCACTCACAGAATCACTGAGGTCAGAAAAGACTGCTAAGATCACCCAGTCCAACCGTCAGCCCACCACCACCATGCCTGCTAACCGCGTCCCTCAGTGCCACATCCACACAGTTCTTGAACGCAAGATGGCAATTTCCTTTCATAGCTGACAGAACACGGTGGCTGCCTCGTACTTTTTTCTTTTGGCTTTTTTTTTTGCTTTTAACGGTATGAATGCAATCTGTACCAACCAAACATTGTATGCATGGCAGATAGAGTTTCATCCTGGGGCTATAGAAATCAATTGCGAAACCGTTCAGTAACTGACTACAAGCAGAAATCAATTGTACCAGTTACCAAATGGCTTAGTTGAAATGTAAAATTATTTGTTCAGAGAGCAAGAAACTATTTACTTGTGCTACTTCTGAAATCTACCTCTAGCTGGGACCAGATGGTAATTTAACTTTTAAATTGTATTTACTGCATTCTTATACTCTAATCAGTCAGTGCAAAGCTGAACTCTTCAGAAGTCCGCGCTTAAGCTTTAAACTTAAAACTTCTGCAGTTTCTCTCTGCCTTTGAGCTGTTGCCATCCTCAGACAGTAACAGATCAATCGGCGCTCGGCCCTTTGATGTGCAACAGTTCAGATGTGACTGCTGTGTGCGTACCCTGCCGTATGTTCCACTGTGAGTGGAGGCTGAGCCTCCCTACTTCACAAGTAATGAGCTCCGCTCAATTAGCAGAGCGAGTTTTTTGAGCGTTGTGTGTAATTGGTTTCAAGGTCTTCAGTTTTAACGGCCATTTGTTAACAATCCTTTTATACCTCTGGCACAAAACTTGTGATTCAAATACAAGCAAACAGCCAAAAAGTGCTCAGTGAGTGGAGTGCTCAGCTACACACATGATCCTACAGCTCAGATATTCTCTTTTGAGAAGCAGTTTGGCTTTACATTTGAGGAGTGATGACACGGCTGCGTTAGGTAAAAGCCCAAGGCCCGTGGGAGCAGGAGATCTATGATCATAGAGGTATAGAACCATAGAGTGGTTGGGGTTGGAAGGCACGGGCTGCCCATAGAAGCTGTGGTGCCCCATCCCTGGAGGCACTCAGGGCCAGGCTGGATGGGGCCCTGGGCAGCCTGAGCTGCTGGGTGGCAGCCCTGCCCATGGCAGGAGTTGGGGCTGAATGGGCTTTGAGGTCCCTTCCAGCACAACCCGTTCCATGGTTCTGTGATTTCAGCACACTGTATTCTCTTGGTGAAAGGAGCTCTTCCTTCATGGTTGACTTGAGCATTATTTGTCTATCTTACAAATATTTTCTTGAGAGAAGAAAGTGAATATTGGAAGGATCTTTTCATGCAGCGTGGAGAAATGGTAGCAGTGTTAGCTCCCCACAAAGGAAGCTCAACAAATCCATGCTAACTACACTGTCTGTATGACATTTTGATGAGTGCATAGAACAAGTAAGAAAGTACACAGGAGGCTTTCTCCTGTGTAAACTCCAGGTTCCCATACAAACTCAAGGTGCTGTAGCCTGGCTTTGTGTGCCCACACTCACAGGAGTGCTGGGAAGTCAGCAGCAGAACAGCAGCCCAGCACAGTAAGTGGTATCCCGACAGGGACAAGCCCTGGGAAGAGCTCCACTAAGGTCACATCAGCCTCTTGAGGGGAAAGTTTGACTCACAGCCCCACTCCTGCCAGGGTTTCCTTCTGTCCCGGCTGTCCTGGTTGGAGCCAAGTGCTATCTGTAGCTATTACAGAAGCCCAGCTGAAAAGCCTGTTTTCTTTTTGCTGTACTTGGAAAACCCCCAGAGTGCTAAAATATCTTGAGGGTAAAAGCATTCGTGGAGCGGGCTGGCCCTGGACAGCCTGCAAGAACCCTCCACTACTTCTGCTGCACCCTTTTCCCACGCATACACGAGGCAGTGGCAAACTCTATGCAGTGTGACTTAATTCAGGGAGAAATTCGGGATGTGCCCAGGATGTCAGAATCATAGAATCATCAAATGGCCTGGGTTGAAAAGGACCACAACGATCATCGAGTTTCAACCCCCTGCTGTGTGCAGGGTCACCAACCACCAGACCAGGCTGCCCAGAGCCACATCCAGCCTGGCCTTGAATGCCTCCAGGGATGGGGCATCCACAGCCTCCTTGGGCAACCTGTTCCAGTGTGTCACCACCCTCAGAGTGAAAAACTGCCTCCTAATATCTACCCTAAACCTCCCTTGTCTCAGTTTAAGACCATTCCCCCTTGTCCTACCACTATCCATCCATGCGAACAGCCATTCCCCCTCCTGTTTATATGCTTCCTTCACCTACTGGAAGGAACAGTGAGGTGTCCCCGGAGCTTTTTCTTCTCCAAGATAAGCCCAGTTCCCTCAACCTTTCTTCATGCCCATTCACCCTACTTACTCCAAGCTCTTTGCCAAGCAGCGCTAGTTCTTTTTGTGAGTGAACGGGAGTTATCGATAGGCCACGAGTGGGTCGGGGTGGGCGGGACGGGCTCCTACAGCAAAGCCACCACGGTGACGCTTTGATGGAAATTTTGGAAGAGGGGCAGCTTGATCAGAATAGGGAAAACAACCCCCGTGGCACCGCAACGCCTCCCGTCCCGCAGAGGCTGCTCGGCACAGCATGGTTGCGGTGCGCGGGTGGGCTCTCCGGCTGAACGCGGCCCTGGGACCGATGCCACCGCCGCACCGCTCCGCCCGGAGCTCCGCGCCCCGCCCGGGCCGAGCCTCCCCCGCGGCGGGCGGAGGTGACAGCGCGGCAAGGAGCATGCGTGCAGGGGGGTAGGGAGGGGGAGGAGGAGGAGGAGGAGGAGGAGGAGGAGAGGAGGAGGAGGAGGGATGCCGCGGGGAGGCGGCCGCTGTTTATTTGCAGCCGGGCAGGCTGCGCCCCGGCAGAGCGCGAGTGGCCGCTGCCGGCGCCGCCGGTGCCGCTGCCCGCCCCGCAGCATGCGGGCGGCGGAGCCGGGGCTCGCAGCGCGGCTCTCCGCGCAAGGTCCCGCGCCATGGTGACGGGCTCGGCGCTGGGAAACCGCAGCCGGGACAGAACCGCGCCGCCGCCGGCCCCGCGCCCCTCGGTGCCGCCGCCGGGGCGGTGCGGCGGGGCGGCGGCGGCGGCGGTGCTGGCGGGGCTGTGCGCGCTGTGCTACGGCAACTCGCTGCGGGGAGAGTTCGTGCACGACGACGTCTGGGCCATCGTCAACAACCCCGACGTGCGGGCGGCCGCTCCCGTGGCCGCCGCTTTCGCCAACGACTTCTGGGGCAAGCGGATGGCGGAGAACACCAGCCACAAGTCCTACCGGCCCCTCTGCGTCCTCACCTTCAAGTAAGTGCCCGGGGCCGGGTGATGATGCCGCGGGTGCGCCCCGGCCCCGACGGTGCGCGAACAGGTGTCTGCGGGCGGCCGGTGGGGACGGGGCGCTCGGGGAAGCGCCTCCGAGTGAGAGGTGCGCAGAGCGACTTCCCCCGAAGTTCTTCCTGCCGCTCAGCCCTCTGCTTTATCCCCAGTACTTCGCTCCGCGGTTGGGTGAGCGTGCCGGGAAGTTGTGCCGTTCCGAAGCGGAGCTGTGGCAGTCCCCAGCTTAGCCGCTCCCCGCGGCCGCCGCGCTCTTCGCGGTCCCCGTGCGGTCCCCGACCGGAGTCCGGGCTCTACGGGGAGGGAAAGAGAGGTCGGGGAGCAGCAAAGAATTGACGGTTCTTTCGCTAATCCCAGGAGGAAGAACGAGATTCTCTCCTCCTCCTCCTCTCAGAGGAGAACGTGTAGCAGCTCGGCGCGGTCACCAGTCAGTCGTTTCGTCAGCTTTGGCGTTAGCTTGTTCTCTGTTTGCCGTGTTCTGACGTAACACAAATGATGGTGAATGTTTACCCGTTTTAGTATTTAAAAATGTTTGAGTGCTTGAGGGGAGCTGCGCGGAAGATCTGAGGTAGCGGATGATGCCGAGCACGGGGCTCCCGGTGATCAGCAGTCCGACTCTGTGCATTGTGAACCTCAGGCGGTCCTAAGGAGCAAACTCTATAGGCAGCACGAAGTGTGCCGGGAGGAGGTGGTGGTTAGGACCTGCTGAGTAACTGTCCATTCAAATACCTGGTATTTATAAATAACATCTCACGAACTCTCAGAAAATAGAGCCTTTCTGTAAGGCAAGAACAGTTAGGGGAAATCCAGCATCCTTGTGCCGTAAGGACAAGCTTAGAGCTGAGAGCAATCGGTACCAGCTATGTGGGAACCGTGGCCGGGTGGAACATCCCCCATGCACAAAACTGAATAGTGCAGATGCCCACGAGCTGAGTTGTTCAGGACAGACTGTATGTGTTCTTGAGGCAGTTCTAAGCAGGTTTCCGCAGAGAACGAAGGGGTAGGAGGCTGCCCTGGGCAGAGGCAGCTCTGTGCACATGGACTGCTTCCTCCGTTAGGTGCTCAGCCAAACTGTTGCACGGCTGGGGAGCCTTCCGGTGGATCCATTACTCCCACAGCACATCAGTGGGTAATTCAAGAGGTGGGCGAACCTCTACACATCACCATGCAGCTACACTGCTGGACTTGGCTGCTGGCCTTGGCTGTGTAGATCAGGTTGTGGAGTTGAGGTCAAATTATGCTAATTAACAGTCTTAAACTTTAATAATGGAATGGAAACTGAATGCTTTAGATCACATTTATATATCTTGACGGAACTGGTTTATCCTTTGCTATTTGAAGAAAGAAAGAGGAAAAGGGGAAAATGAGGACGAAACACTGTCCCATCTACTCCTTTTTGGAAACCAGTGAGATAGACTTTCTGAGCAAGACTTCATTTTCAAGTGTGTATAATAACCATACAGCCAAAGCCTAGGGTCAAAGGCACAGTCATTTGTTCACTGGTTGGCACTGCATTTAGAATAAGGAAGGGATCATTTATCTTCCCTGGCTGCAGAGGAAGGCTATTTCCAGTGTCCCAAATACCCTTCCAGCCCTCTGCCTTTCCTCATTCTTCTCACTCCCTACCTCTCAGTAGGGTGCCAGAGGCAGATGTTAAGATCTGTGTTGGAATGGATCCTCCGTACCCAGTGCTCCCAAGCAGGATGCAGTGAGAGCGTTCTGCCAGATGATGCTGAACTGTGGCTGAGCTGCATGCTGCTTGCTCTGATGTCCTGCCTGGCACCACTTTGCTGGTTTTACTCTGTTCTCCTGCAGGAGGAGAAAGACTCTACCCCACTGGTTGTTAAATGCTCGACAGGAGTGGTCTTTTAACAAAATTGAAATGAATGGTAGCATGATTCTTTGCATCTTCCTGTGGTCATTTTCACCTGGAAGACTTGCCTACCTACAGATCCTCAGTACACAGATACTTTGTCTCCATCTCTTTTCTGTCCTTTGCGGCTGCGAAAGTGAAAGGACTCATGATGCCCCGTGGACTTGTCATTTAATGGAGCACATCTTTCATGTGTGCTACATATTCTTGAAATGATCTCAATTAAAAGAATTTATCACTGCTCTGTCAAAAAAAAAAAAAATCTTGACTAAACACTGCTGAAATCTAGTAACGGTGGCTCAGCATCCCTCACTTATTGGAAATCCTAAATGACAGTCCTAATTCTAGCAGATTAACGCTCTAGAGCCAAACAGTGAAAAGAGCTCAACTATTTGGCGCTATTCGCACTGGGTCTGTCAGAATGAATGATGAGAGGAAAATATGAGTGGCCTGTGCTACTAGAATCACTCAGCAAAACTTAAACATTTTCACACATCTGCTGCGTTTTCTTTTTGTCTGCGTGTGGGTTAACATCAGAGGGAGAAAAAGCCTGCATGTGAACTGTTGAATTAAATATTGTTTACTTTGTGTCTTTGAACTTCTCTCACCTTTTCTTCTGACTTCAGTAAAGGAAAGAAGCATTGAAACCGGTTGGTTCAGAGACATCCCCGCTGTGCTTGGATACCTGTTGGGTGACAGGACTAGCATCTGCAAAGGAGATGACATGATAGGCAGTGATTTTGTTTAGTCCTCAGGAAAACTTGATGCTTTCTTCTCCAAGATGTAATTCAATATACTTATTTTTAAAGAAGGTCACTTTTTGGAGATATTCAATTTCTTGGTGCCTTCCACATAAAATGTTAAGGTGAAGGGGAGGAACAGAAGAACTGCTAGCTCTATAATTCACTCAGGACTTTATATTGAAACTGAGTGTTTTCTGTCTTGTACCTTGTCTCTGCTAACAGAAGTTTGGTGAGACATTTTTCCTTCTCTAGCACTGACATTATTTCTTGGCTCTAGTGATTTTGCAGAGTATTTCTCAACTGTTGAAGCAGAAGGTGAAATCCTCAGTACCACCTCTCCTCGTCTCTTGCTTTTCTAATCTCTGTTTAGATGGGTGTTTCTGCAATGAAAATCTAAAGTGGTTTGTTGTAGTCAGCAACACGGTAGAGATTGCCTCAAGGTGTGTGGTAGAAGGAGATGACAAGAACAAATACTTATTTTTTTCTTTTAAACCCAAATGCCAAAATTTAAAGACTCTAAATCACATCAGCCCCCTAGTTCTCCAGGTGTCTGAGCAAAGGCCCAGGAGAAGGAAGCCCACTTGGTCTCTTTGATGAGGAGCAGAAAACAGGTGTCAGTGAGGGAGGTGCCACAAGCCCATGAATAACAGCTCACTGGAGGCAAAAGACTGGTAGAGAAGATACTGGCTGGTTACAGTCATTTAGCTGTTGCAGAGACTCAGGAAGATGAAGCTGGTTGGAGGACTGTGGATGATATCTGGTCTTCCTTGAAGGAGATGTTACAGTTCACTGGAAATGAACTTGGATCCATGAGTGGGTAAGAGTGCTTCCTCCAGCTGCTGCTTGGGCTGTTTGGGTCTGGAAGGAGGAGCTGGGAAAGAGAAGTCATTGAGAGGAACTCAGTTGTCCCACTGGAAAAGACATAGGCACCACAGCTGGAAGGTCGAGCTATCTCACTATTCCTCTGACAGTAAAAATAGGGAAAAAAAGAAGAACCATCTCATGCTCACTTGCTGACAGCAGAATGGATGGCTCTGCCTGCAGAGGCTGCTGGTCGGTGGTAGCTTGGGCAGCATGAATGCCTTGGGAAAAAATGGGATCCTTCAGCTACAGTTCACATGGTGCAGGCACTGTGAGCCTAGTATGAGACTACCAATGGCTCTAGATCAAACCCTGAAATGATTGTGAGCTTGAGTTAGACGTAAATACAGAGCCAAAAAGAGAATTAATTCAATAAGTCACTGCCAACCTTCTGATCTATCTAGTTGCATACAGCTGATCCTTCTGTTTTTTCAGCTGTATCCGTGGTGTGAATTTCAAGGACAGGCAGCTTAGAAAAAACAACCAGGGAAGAAAAAAAGAAATTTTATTTGTTCTTCCTTAATGTTTTATTATGTTTTGACATCACAGGGTAAGACAGCGAGTTATAATGTGTCAGGTTAAATATGCACCGCACAAGTATTTTCTTCCCTCCGTGTATCTGTATTAAGGCAACATTACAATGCTTAAGATTGTGTTAGTATTTCTCCTATGAACCTTGGTCTAGCATTTCTACCCTCACTATGGCAGTCATTCTCCATATACTGATGCTGTGATGCGTGCTATGAAATCAGTACAGCACTGGTGTAGCCACAGTGGGCTAAAGCTGCAAGGGAGGTGAGGTTCCTGAGAAGTGGCAGTGCTTGTATTAGACCAGCTGTGTAGTAGTTGCAGTATATGGGTACATTTCTAGATGTGTGTGCCTTGATTCTGACCAAGGCGGGACCACGTGGCTGCCATTTTAGAATTGGGGGAGGGTGTGTGTGCTGCAAAGCTTGTCTTTTTTCCAGCTCTGGAGTTGCTCATATGAAGCTGATTTAGGGAAGACTTTTTCTTTCTGCCCACCACACTGAGTGTAATTACTGTTTAGAAATAGAAGGAGTGATCTGGAACCAAACAGGGAATGTAGCAGCATGTCTGATTTTTTTTTTAAGTTGTAGGAGCAGGCTGTGCCCCCCTGGGGGAGGGGAGCTGGCAGGGTTGCTTGGACTTCACAGGATGAGGCCAGGTGGCTGCTGATGTAGCCCAGTGCTTAGGGAGCACCTTAAAGCCTGCAGGACAGTAGGAAGGCTGGGAGCTGTAGGGTGCTGCTGGAGCCTGTGGCCTGGCAGCCTTATGGGTGCCTGCATTCTGCTGAGCCAGTGGTCAGGGCGAAAGTGGGAATCTGCCCTCACGTGCATGGGGAGCTGTGGGAACTGTGCATGAACTGTATTTGATTTCTGTCTGGTTGAAAATCTTCTCTGTGGCTAAAACTTGTAACAAAACTTGTTTCTCTCGAGTTGAAAAGGTTTTTATGTTAAGGGGAAGCATTCCCA